GCAGGACACAGGGAGGTGCTCCGCCTCACCGGGACACAGGGAGGTGCTCCGCCTCAGCAGGACTCATTTCATTGGAATGAATCACTGAGTGAATGAAGAAATGAGTGAAAGATAGAAATAATAAAATTCCACTCAAATTTCTGGGGAGATTTCCTTAAGGAATTGGGCTCTAAATTTATGAACACAGTAAGATTTGAGAAAGATGAATAAATTCAGACCCATGCTAAAGAGTTATGTGTATCTAATGTAGAAACACATCATTTCGTGTTTCAGACTCTTAGCACCAGGTTTGGATGGCTGCAGTTCCCGGGGTGGGTAGCTCTGCTGGAAGACTCCTGGGGTTCCTTGATGCCAGTTGACACATGACATCGAACCTGCTGAAACCATGAGAATGTGTAAAAAGGCCCTCACCCTTGCTCTGCTGACGCTTAAGTCCTATTATCTTTAGTGTCGTCAGTTTCCACACTGGGGGTTTCAGTCTGAAACACTCTGAGACATTTCTGTTAGTTTAGTGACAGAATGCACATGGGCATCTAATCTTATTTAGATTTGTTTTTAGACTTAATCATTGAAATTTAAGTATTGAAAAACGTGTTGGCAAAATCATGTTAACATTCAATATCATCATTTACTCACAGGTATCCAAATTATGATATTCAGTATCCAACATTACAATCCCATCTCGGAGCATACAGAACAGTCCCTTTTCTGTACCCCAAAGCTTGATACTTATACTTTTGAGATTATAACACATCTAACAATATTTCTCCCTTCTCTTTCCTCCCTCCAAGGCCTCTCATATACTCTTCCCTGCTTTCCTTCAAATTCACCGCCACTAACCCACTAATTATTATTGCATGCATATATGTATGTGCATATACACATACATTCCTAAATATGACCTGCTCAGTCCATATACATACTTCTATGTATATCTTCAGGGCTGACCATTTGGCACTGGTCAACTGACTGACGTGCCCTATCTTTCTCTGTTGCAGCAACCTACATAGTAGGTAGTGTTCCTTCTAGTTCATGTTTTTAATCCTCAGGGTAAACTTGAGAAAGCATATGTAACCTTTTCTAAAGTCGTTCTTAGGGAAAGTTTCTAGCGTTCATCTGACATCAAAGTTGTTGGCCTACCTATGGCAGTACATAAGCAAACCTTTAATGTCACAGTTTGGCCAGGTCTGATCTTTATTGCTTATTTGTTGTTATAAGTACTACCGTTTTCTGCTGTGGGCATCTATGTCCATTTGTTTTTGCCTTCTGTGGTGCAGATCTGAACATGGACGGCTTCTATGATAAGAGATGAGCAGAGGAATAGAGTTCAAACATAACTGTTTTTTCCTGCTGAGGCACAGCAAGAATTTGGGGGTGTAATGTTGAACTTGAATATTGTTTTTTTGTTTTTAACTACAGCTTTTTTTCATGTGGATGTCAGTCAGGAAGCCTGGCTCAAGCCTTCAAGCGATAAGACTTTTGCTCCATCTGTTCTCCTGGGGGAACCTGATTCACACAGACAAGTTAACTTTCTCCAATCCTTTTCAAGTTGCTACTCCAAAGTATCAACAATAGTAATTTTGAAGAAAATATACAATTACAAAATAGGATCAGACTTAAAAGGGAAATGTAGGGGAAAGGGCAAATAAAACACAAAATACCATTCTTTTCAAAGTTAAGTTATCTAAGTTTAACTGAAGGTCCTCTCTTGGGGTGTAAGGCCCTCCAAAAGAACACACCAAAAGAGCCCCCAGGGATCTGGCCAAGCAAGAGGACTGAGCCCTTACCTGGCAAAGTATTTTAGGTATGGTTACATTGGAACATGTATGTCATGCATGAATGAACAACACTGACTTTATGGGTATTCGTGAGACAAATTCCAGTGTAGGCCACAAAGCCTGAAATGGCTCTCACTGCAGGCAACAAAATCTCTGTCTCTCCCTTCCCTTTTCCCTTTGTGTTTTCATGTTCCATTTTCAGGTAGTCACACAGAGTTATCATATGCCCACCTTCTTCAGAAAATCATAGTCACTAGACCCTCCACAGGTCATTTCTAAAGGTCCAGGAAAATGCACCTGCTGGTCTCGGTCTTAGACCAATCGGCTGTGAGAAGGTGGGCAGGGTGAGGAACAGAAGAGTCAAACTAGCAGCAGTCTAGCCCTGAGCTGTCTGAACATCTACCAGAGCCTGGGGCTCCTTCCTCCCTCTCAGCAGACGACGTATCAATATGCCAAGTTACTGGATATATGTCTGATGACACTATGCTGTGGTTTATCCCTGATGTTAGCGAAACTAGTGTATGATTTGTAATTTTCCCAAATCTCCCAGAACCTGGACCCAAGGGTTCGTGTTAGCTCAGTTCTTCAAAGGATCCGCAGAACTCTTCACACCACAAGGCACTATTTCCCCACCCTCCCAATTGTCCGCCGCCTCCCCTGCAGTATATATACATCAGCGATGACTGTAAACACAAGGAACGGGATTATTGGCCTGATGGCAAGGCAGGGATAATAATACCCCCCTCCAGCTTTCTTCAGAAGGATGTTGTTGACAGTGAGAACACCAGTGTTTGTGGAATACTCAGAGACAGTCACTGTATAAATACAAGGTATTATTACTATTATCACCATGTTTAACGTCTGGCTGATGGTGGGAAAGTTCTTTCACAGCCCTAGTTGTAAGCTGTAGCTGTAAAATTTCCCCTTCTTCTCTAAGGCTGTTGCAGAGGCTTTGGACAATGATACTAAAGTAACAATTCAAGTGCGTCCCTGTGCCTAATGAATGCCAGCGCCCTTGATTAATGGCACTTGTTCAGCGTCACACTGACAGGACTGGGCCGTGTTTAGAAAAATGGAGTTTCTGCCTACTGTGATTTTTCTCTCCATTTACCAAAAAAATGGACATCGTCAGGGTTGGTTTTTTTTTTTTTATTATTATTACCTTTAACTCTATTCAACTGCTGCTGGAGTTTTTCGTTTGATGGGTACCATGCTTTTGTCTCATGCTGGTGCTGGCTACCAGACTGTTGTCACTCAAGAGATCTGCCTCAGCACCTACCTCCACAATCAGCAAACTCACTGCTGTCCTAGCACAAAACCTCTGCCCAGGTGGGAAAAGAGCAGGGTTGGGGGCGGAGGAGGGTAAACTTGGCTGAAAGGCACATGCAGGTCACAGCTGACAAAAAAAAAAAAAAAAAAAAAAAAAAAAAAAAAAAAAAAAAAAAAAAAAAAAA